CTGAATACCCAAGTACAAGCACTTCGGACAGATTTACAGTATTGGATGCTGAGCAACAGTTGTCCAGGGGACTGCAAAGAGGTTTTGATTAGCTAGTAACAGGTGTTAACAGGAAATAAGTGACCCATGTTTTACGGAAAGACGTGAGCCAACAGTGGGCAGAAAATACTCCAGCTTCGTGTTATTGATAAACCAATATCCACCCCTTCTCACCAGGCAGCAGTAGCCTTCTTGGCTTCAGGAAACTTTGGCTAAAGAGCAAAGTTGGAGCTATGGAGCATCCCCATTAAAGTCAGTGGAAGCTGTGTGTCATAAGAGCAGGATTTGGTCCAAGACAAATTCCTCTGGGCTCTGTCACTGCTGCTTTCAAGTGTAAAGCCTGAGTGCACTTAACTCATGGCTTTTTTCTCCTAGAACTGTATTTAGGATCTACCCACTCTTAGCAGGTATAGAGACCCTAATTAAAAGGAGCATATGCAAACTCTCAGTTGCCAGTGGTAAGCTACCAAGGACAGTCTAAGTCTGCATATTTCAGGCTTCATCCAAGTGACACATCTGGGAGGGGCAAAAGCCTACAAACGGTCCCAAAATACCAAGGGATGAGGAAAGGTAACTGCTTAGGGGGACAGAGAGAGAGAGAGAGACACACACACACACACACCTGGCTAGGGATGACCCATCAATTGTCTTGACTACTCCATTTGTCATTATGTTATCAAGTAACCTTCTGTATATCTGGGCATCCTAGATACCTGCATGGCCCTGATGACCTCAGGGTCAGAGTGCATCATTCATGGATTTTACCCTTACAATTTATTTTATTATTATTATTATTATTATTATTATGGCAAATACAAAAGACAGAGAGAGAAAAACCCAGGCACATGTTTGAATAAGTGACTTGCCAAAGTTCACTGAAATTTGAGCCAGCCATAGAGCTGAGCACCCTTTGAGAACCCTGTGCCTCAGAAGAAGCCTTCTGTGCTTACTTAGCCTAGCTCTTCCCTGGCAACAGTAAGCAAGTTGGATCATGTTTACTGATATGCTAATAAGCTTCTGGAGTCATCTCCTACTCTCTTGCTTCACTGAGCCCTGGTTATCAAACCATTATCAAAGGAGCATTATACAACTGCCCTAATCAAAATGGGATCAGAGGAGGACAAAGTTGAGGTATTGTGGGTTAGGAAACATGGAGGTCGGGGGGGGGAGGAAGGGACTTGGCGGTGGGGGTCTGCTACAGACCACCACACCAAGAGGAGATCTAGACTTGGAAATCTTGTGGCAGCTCTCGGAGGCCGTACAGTCTAGGGATGTGGTTGTCATGGGGGAACTAAACTACCCGGACATCTGCTGGGAGGAGCGGTCAGCCAAACCCA